ATTTTGATAGACTCGTCGGCAAATTAACAAAATTCGAACTACCTCTACTCTTGAACAAGTAAAAAAAATACGGTCTAAGGGAAGGGATGTCATGAAAATCGTCGGTCATACCTTAAAACTGCTTCTGACTTGGCGACTTTTAGTCCCCAGAAAGTGCGATATTGAAATCCTTTGCGAAAAAAAAACGTTGTTTTGGTGGTGGACTCATATTCGAATATTTTCCTATTGAATGAGAATGTTTGGAATTCGATTGAAACGAGCGAACGAATTATTCAGATCTCCTGCTGCTGTTCGTGACGGAGGCATTTACCGTGCCACGGAAGGCCAAGGCGGTTATCTCGCACGTCCTGCCCGAACAACTATTCAAGCTTCATCTGGGTATCGTGGTGTCCAAGGTATGAAGGAATTAACAACATTTGCGTATGTATTTTTGACTACCAGAGACTATTAAATGTTTCAGTGGCTCCAGAGCGCGGTTTGCCTCATACTCAGCAGCATCAACAGCAACCGCACTTTTTCGTTGCTGGCTACAATGGTGCACCTGTGGCGCGCAGGGTTATGACCACGGCTCCAATGTCGGGCTCACCAATGGTACAAAAACGTACTGCGCCGCGCATCGTGTCTACTTCCGCACAAATGCGTCTCCCTGGGTTCGTTTTTTATTACCACAACATCAAAATAGTAAAGTTTTATTAAACATGGCCAGAGCTCTAATGGACAGTAGCAGTTTCTTAAATATTAATGAACCTACTGATTGTGAATTTCAGCCAGCGCATGGGCGGAAATGTTCCACATGTGCCCATGCAGCAGCAGAGTCAACGCCAATCTTCAGCGGTTGTAGCGGCGCCACCAGTGCAACGTCAAGTGGATCCTCCACCGCATAGGTTGGAATTCCTTGTTTGATTTTTTGAAACTTTTTAAAACTAAAGCTTTTTATTCTTGCAGATCATTCCATCAAACACCCGACACATCACATCGTGTCGTCCTAGTGCAGTCGGGTGGCAGTTCTCGTGTTGCTTTTTCACCTGCAGATCCCAGCCAAGCTGCACTTGCTAATGCTCCTGCTCCGCTACTTGTAACTAGTCGCGGAACAAGGCCAATTGTTCGTGGAAGAGGTACGCTATTCGACGTGTGGATCGTCAGTTTCTCACAGCTAGCTCTAATTTTTCAATTATTACGAACAGGAGGAAGTGTAACAGGCCGCGCCAAAAAAGAGAGTACGAGTGGCGTGTCGGGAGAGGAGACATCTCCAACGCATTCTCCACAGGCAGTTCCCCGCATTCCTTTGAGCACACCTGTGCATGGCACTCGCACGACGCCAATATCTCCTCGCAAACAGGTTTGTTCCGATTTTTGTCAACTAGCTTGCACTTTTTTGTTTTGAGGTTGCTTGGCTAATGCTGTTGCTATTGTTGCGCTACGAATTGTTTTGAAAGCGCAATTCGGGTACCTGACGAGAATACTTTTGCGTCCTCCGGCATGAGAAACTTACAGTTCAATCAAGGCTTTCTTCTTCATTCCTAAAGAGCACGAAGCCAGTCGAAGGGCAAATGCGAAATGGAAGTCGAACTACTTCCTTGTTATTCTTCCCTGAAAATTTTCAATTTTAATGTTTTGCTGAAAAGTATTTTTCTTTTCCTGTTCAGGTGCACTTTTCCGACGGCGTTCCCGTTGGTCCAGGTGCTGGTGGAGTACCTTCACCTCTCCGCATGCAGGGAATGCCGCCAACTTCCCTCCACCCAGATGCCGATACACCATCCCATCAGGCTGGCTTACGGTCACCCTCAAGACTTACGTCGGCTCGTGTTCGTCCACCAGCTCCATCTGCGGTGGCTCCTTCTACGACTGCATCGGCGGTAGCAAGCGTCACGTCACCATCGGTAAGCCGTTCTAGCGGTTAGGTGAACTAATGCTTGATGACCAGATTTTATGACTGCTACTGATCCTGACCGGTCCCACTTGCCTTTTTCATTTCTTTTCAATAATTTTGGTCTTCCTCCTGAACTTCACTCTGCAATTCAGTTTAATTCGTAACATCACTCAAAATCTGTTGTAAAAAGTTGATGAGTGGATTGTGCAACACTCTCCTTAAAGTGATAGGTGCAAAGTAGTGCAGATTGCAGGAGAAATATCTCGTATAGTTCTTTCACTTGCAGAGAACAGTCCATACCACTTCACCGGAAACACCACCTTTACCTGAAAACTTTGTGGACGACGCTGAGGCTGCTTCTCAGAATTATACCGAGTCTGAGGTCAATAAGGTATGTTAAAATTTTCATTTTATTCTAAGCCACTAAGGAATGCTGTTTCAGAATTCCACTTTACCTCCCGAAGTCATTGCCGCTGCTACTTCACTATCTGCTGAGAGCGATGTGAACCATCCACAGTGGACCAATAACGACATTTCAGCCGAGGATATCAAGGCGAAGATTGAAGCTATTAGTCGCGAAATCGCTCAGGCGTGTATTCACGATGAATTCTTTTGATTCGCATTCGAGTGTCAGCATTTAGTTTCAGGAAATGGAGCAGAAAAAGATGGAGTCAGAAGCGCAAGCGCGAGAGAGAAAGCGTCCAGGAAGCGATGTGTCTACTGCAATGCGTCGTCGCTCCGGAACTGATTCCCAGTTCAGTGGGGGTGAGGAGATGGAAACAGGAGGCCCAAGTGCGGGGGCTCCAAGAGGGCGCGGAAGACCTAGGGGATCGGTATGATTTCTCATTTCATTTTTCTTCTTTGAAATGATAAACGCTTGTTCTTTCAGGGCAGAACGCGATCGTCGCTGAGCAGCAGCAGCAGTACGAGTTTGGCTGCAACGAGTACTACACCATTACACCACGATATTTCTGAGGGACCATATGGTGCCGCAAAAACTGCTGATTACCAGTCATCTCGTGTTGCTGGACGTTCATCTGTTAGAGGAAATGTTGTACCCATCACTGTAAGTTGATTTGAAGTATGCTTTCGCAACGAAGTATTAAGGAGGTGGTTATTGAAGTCTGTATTTTCCAGGCATATGATGGATCGATGGCGCCGGAATTGCCTCCACCCTTGCCTCCAATATCAGGCGCTCAAACATTACGTGGATCCTACCAAAGCCCCGGAGTAGCCCAGTCACCTCACGCGACTCAGCGAACTCCTATGGATCAATCTCCACTTTCACCAGGCTACCCACGAAGAGGTTTGTTCCCTTTTTAAGCTCACAGGAATCCGAATTGCCATTTCATTTCTGTCTTCCCTGTACTCTACATTATAAAAAAATCTCAGGAGTCAACGGAGTTTCGCCCGAAGAAGATCTCGCCAACGTTAGCACCGACCCTAGCAGTGACGAGGAAGAAGCTACAGAGGTTTCTCTATTCGCCATAGTTCGAAACATTATCTTCTGCGAATTTTTGTATTGGATACATGTTTAGGAAGCTGAATGGGGAGATTACGTGACGCGGTGTCTGTGTGAAATGCAACACAATGACGAATGGATGGTGGAATGTGAGCAATGCAAGTACGTGGTTTTCAATAACGATTCGATTTTTCGATCTCGATTAATGAATATTTCTGACCTTGAAAGTTTGTTGAACAGTTTATGAAAGTCTTCTTTGGTGTTGATCTTCGTATTTGTCTTGATTTCAGTGTTTGGCAGCATATGAAGTGTATGGGTATTGACCCAAAGAAGTTCAACCAAAATGATACATACCTTTGCGAATACTGCAAACCACGACCACTCAAATGGACAAAGAAGCAAGCACAGGAATTGCAGGTTCGTTGTAGTTCTGTGTAACCTCTTGATAAGTGAAGAAATTTCGTTTTATTTCTCATATATTTTTCAGTTGAAACAGTTGAAAGCTGTTTCACGTGAAAAAGAACGGAAGATGGCTGAGAAGTTGAGGAGGCGAGAAGAACGAAAACGTGCTAAGCTCAGTCAGCGCTTGAAGGAACGCAACGTAAGTATAAGGGTTCATTAGAGGAACCTAAGTAAAGAAAAAAGTTAGACGATAGAGCGAATATTGTCGATATAGTAGTAACATAGGAAACCCACGAGGGAGAGAGTCTCTCAAGCGCAAAATTGTAATCCCTAGAAAATATGGACCAATTTGGAGTTCTTAGAAGTTTTAGTTGGAAAACTGCTGAGTGACTATATAAATGCACCCACACCTAATAAAAATTGGTTCAAGTGCGCCAGCTGCTCTTTCATTTTTAATTGTAGTGGGAAAGGATGGTTGACAATTTATTTCAGTACTTAATCAGTACACCTCCTACTTCATTGCTATGAGTAGTAATCACGCAACTTTTTATGCACAGAAAGAGGATTGCATCGAATTTGCTGAATTTTTTGATACCTTTCTAAAAATACGGTATCATCTCCGTTTACAGCATGCCAAAACCGCCAAAAGAGGTCCCGCAGCCTATAAGAAGTTCCAGTTGATTAGTCGCAACGAGTATACAAAACGAGCGAAACAAATGTTGGCTCTCTTTGATACCACTGCTGGTGCTCAAAGTATTCTGGAGAATTCTCGCGACCTAAAGCGTGGAAAGCGTATGTTTGTCGCACCGGATATTGAAGGTACACATTGACGTTTAAGTTTTTGCTCAAATTTGCGGTCAGTTAGCCATGATTTTTCGCAGGTCTTGTATCTACTGAAGCTATAAAGCAAGATGATGTCATAATGGAATATGTGGGGCATGTTTGCTTACCAGACGAATGTCCTGGAAGGTTGCAGCGTGGTGCACTGCAGCCATATTGTGTTTTATACAATGGTCTTGGACAGAACCTCCTTTGTATTGATGCTCGTCGTCAGGGAAGTGAAGCCCGATTCGCACGCAGGTATTTCTGTTCAACAGCTCATGTGTTACTGTCTTATACATGAAACTTGGCGATCTTAATCTTCAAATGTTCAGATGTTGTCGATCTAACTCTACTCTTAAACATGTGTTGTTAAATGGCTGTATTTACGTCATGTTAGTTGCATCAGAAAGGATTGAAAAGGGAACAGAGGTAAATCTAGTGAGCCAGAGGTCATTGTAAACACAGATTAGAGTTTCTATTTGAAGGTCACCATACCGTTTGATTGTGATTTCCGTGACACTTTGGTACCTGTCGAATGCGCCTGTGGAGAGGATCCGAATTGCTATATGAAGCAGTTCAATAATTCTCTTCGTTGCAAAGCGTCATTTGAAGTAAGGTTTTAATGTCATGAGATTGTATCGATCAGTGCTTATGATTTGTTGTAGGAACGACCAAATCATGATGTTACCGCGCAGCAACCTCAAGCTTCAAATGGAACAGCTTCTGGCCGAAGAGTAGCAGCTACGCCCCATAAAGTGAAGACGGAGACCCGCGGTCGACCTAAGGGAAGTGGCAAAAAGGAGAAGGTTGCCGATGATACTCCACGGAAGAAGGTTCGCTATTGAAATTCATATTACTTACTGAGTTTGAATAAATGCTTTTCATTTGTTATCGTTAGGGAGTGCATTTGTAGGGGCCCGTTGGCAGGAAACCAAGGAAGGTTGGAATCCGTCTCCGTCGACATTCTGACAGCAAGAACACGAAATCGTCAGATGAGTCAATGGAACAGAGTGCCGAAGCTGACGCTGCTGACAAAACGTAAAGTTCAAATGTTTGCTTTGATTGTGCAAGTTTATTTTGGTTTTTCTTGTTTAAGGGAAGAAAAAGTGGCTGAAGCGCCCGAAGAAAAGAAGGAGGCTGCAGAAAAGGAAGAGCCACAGGCAGCAGAGGTACCAACGACGGTCCCCGCCGTTCCAGCGGAGAAGCCTGTCGAGGAAGTCAAGGTGGAAGAAAAGACAAACGATTCAGCCAGCGCAGAATCCACAAAGCAAACTGAACCCTTGAACAAACAAGCTTCGGATGGAAATAAGTCTGCACCGACTTCTCCGAAAAAGGTAATTGTAGAGTTTTCATGTTTTGTTCATTCACATGTTTTTTTTTTCTTAGGAGGAGCAGCGACCGAGTGGTGGAAGACGTCGAAGCAGTACAGGATCGAGCCGATTTCCCAAAAGGGAAGCGATCGAGCAACTGAAGGAGGTCATGGATTACACCCTACCTGAGGACAGAAACAAGCCTGTAAGTCTGATAGCCCGTATAGGAATCATCGCGATTAATTTCGTTCATCCATAATCTTCAGAGTCGAGAGGAGAGGAAACTTCAAGCTGCTCTAGCGGCTATTGAAAGGAAGGAGGAAAAAGAGAAAAGAAGAGCGGAAGCTCACAAGGACTCAAGCGATGCCAAAGAGAAAAGGGTGCGTTTTTTCTTGAATTAGTTCATTGCTCGCTTTTTAAGGACTTTCTTCTACGCTTTGTTTCGGACTATCATTATTTCATCGTGTTTGAAGGGCCCTGGACGACCGGCTAGATCAAGCACTGGAGGCACTGGAAAGGCGGGAAAGCGCCAGTCGGAAAAGCATAATGATAAGGAGAAGAAACCTGAGCCTGTCGTTGAACCATCTGTCAGGGAAAGCCCACGTGGAAAGAAGAAGAGTGCGTTTCCCTCCATTGCAATAAATGTTTCGAATATCTCTGTTTTACTGGTCTCATTGTTTGCACTTTTAGGAGACGAGTTCAAGGAAAACGAGGTCGATGAAGTTTCTACTATAGCTCAGCCACCCAGAAAACGGTGGGCAGCTGCTGTGAAAGAGAACGGTAAGCGTTAAAAAATATGCCACACCACTTCATCATTCATTCCAAGTCACACGCTTCCAGAAGCCGCTCAACGAGCCTCTTCGCCTGAGGTGACGTCATCATCATCAGCTACCTCGATGGGAGCTGCGGATGTCAGTTCGGCAGATTCAGTCAACCCAAGTAGCGTTGGTGGGAAAAAGCTTTGGTTGCGACGACACGCAGCAGAATCAATCAGTGAGGAAAGCTTGCAAACGGCTGATACTGCAGCCTCTTCGGAACCTTTAACGTGTGCGGCAGATTCCACCAGTGACATTGCCGCATTGCCATCGAGAATCCAGGTCAGCTTTGGGCTTCAATTCTCATAGTTCTGGTGGTGATGCACAATGGGTACAAAGCTGTTGCATGGGGCGTATTTACGCAGCTGTTACGAATTTATTGTATGATTCCACTTTCGTGAGAATTTTCACAATGTTTGCGTTACAGATGAGTCCTCCTTTGAAGAAAAGACGGCACATGCTCGATGCTTGTCAATCTGATGAACATGTAGCTGCAACAGCGCTTGCGCAAATGGGAGCGAAAGGTAGGATATATTGCAACCTTTTGAGATTTTCTCATATCTAGTGCGATTTTTTCAGCTGAGGGGTTTCGCTTCCATTGGAATATGGCCTTACGGTATTTGATGCCCAACCTCAACGAAAGCCTGAATGTGGATTTTGACTTGGCCGACTCTGTGCGGAAACCACTACCTCTACCGTCAGTACGTCAACCTGTCACTACGCTTCCTTCGGTTTCTGTGGATGCAGCGATGGCCACATCAACATCGTCACAAGCGCCAGCGGCTTCGCCAGTTGAAGTGAGAAAGGTGCGGTACTGGATATATTGGTGATCCACACCTCAAATGAAGGGATTTTATCTTAATTTTAGGCGAAGCGGCTGAGCTTGGAAGACTATAAAAGACGTCGTAGTACAATGGGGTCTTCTGAGAACACCAGTGCATCAGCTGGTGCTGCGACAGCACAAACTGCGACTGGAAATCTTGTCGATCTCAGACTTCGAAGTGGAGAAACTAATACTCGGCCTACTCGATCATTTATTCCCACCATGGATACCTCACTGGTATGACAAGTGTCAATTACCAAATTATTGATTCAGATGCATAGGACGCTTTGCTGTAAAAACTTTTATAGGATCAAAGCGCACTTTTGCGGCCTTTGGACAGTTCTATTCCCATTCCGCCATTAGGTGTGCCACCAGATTTGGAAGTAGTCAAGAAAATGATTCTGGAAGAGGTACGGAAGCGATTCTTGTTTCTTGCTGTGTTTGTTGCTCATCACACTTCTTGTAGTCATGTATTCCTACTCCTCCGGTACCTCCTACGTTACCACCACCAGTCGATACTCCAGCAAGTACTGTGCCTGCTTCATCTAGTGATATGTCTATCGGTTCCAGCTCAGAGTCTGGTGAAGAAAGGATGTCACTTGCTGATCGTTTGGCGAAGGAGTTTGGTGTTGGTAAGTTGATAATTTTTCAAGTGTTTTGATAAATGCCTGTGTTTTTATGATATTGGTATCATTCAAGGTACCGCCGGGACTCCACGGTCTCCAAAATCAGTTCTCTCATCTGGCCATAGGGCGATATCATTAAGAGGTAGTTTGTGTGATGAATGATGAAAAAATCTTAGTAGTGGTTCAATTTCGGAGCGATTTTTTCTTTAGATGTACCGCCTCCACCTCCTCCAGGACCGCGTCCAACTCGTAATACCCGTTGGTGATTTGCCGGTGATCTCGTCTCATTTCTGTTCAATCTCGTCCGATTCGGCGCCGTTCTGGTTTCTCCTCCGAACCGTCTACCTCGCCTTTCACGTCTTCGTGCGAATCCCGGTCCCTGTGTCAGTTATCGCATAGGTGCGTCGCATCGCTCTCTCGTTTCCATTCTTGGTTATCCTCACCCTTCAATGCTGCTGGCATCGTCATTTGTTAGACGTCGTCATCGCTTTCATTTCATATAAACACTACAAATGGTGCGCGCTCGTTCTGTGTTCATGTGTGCATGAAATTTCTACATTTTGATACTAGTTTAGTCGAGTTTAGCTGATGCATGATAGATGTACATATTGCATTGATCTTCTGAAATAAATAAAACCAATGATTGCTGTATAAAAGATTGTCCTTAAAGTTTCGACTCCCTTTCAAATGACGTTTTCTCCCCAGAACTCTCCATCACATACACATGGCAAAGTGATACTCTTGCGCATTAATGTTTGAATATGTTTTGTAGTAGTATTGCATTTCATGTTGTCACTTTGATTGGAGATTATTTTCGCATTTGTCTCGTTGAACGAGGCGTTTTCAATACCGATATATGTGCGACAGTAGTTTATTCCATTATTACACACTATTGAAATGTGTCTTAATTAATCTACAGTTGCAATGACGACATTCTAATAAAGTGAAAGAAATAATTAGATTTCTCAGTTTTGACAGCTTGATGAACTATTTTGGAGTTTAAATTAAATGAAGCAAGTTTTGCAACTCAAATATCAACGGGCACTGCCTCTACCTTGTAACACAAAGGCAACATCAGGTAGGCAATAATATGAAGGAACACCCCTATGGGCGCATTTATAGTCGGTCGTCCGATCGTAACGATCACACAGCAATGGATGCGTATAGGTTGTCGGACGGGTTCGCAGAGTGGACGATCGCGGTGCGACGTTACGATCGTTACGATCGGACGCCAACTATGCGTGCTACCTAATATCGATTTTTTACGACCGTCGCCACGTGCAGAGCAGCAGTAGCGTACATGGCTGTAACCGTGAAAAAACCGATATCATGTGTGCTTTTTGGCGTTATTGATTGTGATCCATCACCTCTGTGTCTTGTTGGTGATAAGTTGGCACCTATGATGCACCTGAGTACCCGAGACAAAGTGTAAACAGGGTCAACCGTGTGTTGCACAGCTCTCAACGAGGGGAACCGTATTTGAGTTTTTGGATGGGGTCGTGTTAGGAGTTGATGAAGGTCAAGAGGTTAAAAGGTGAGGGGCTGGCGTATTTTGGAAATTGAATGGGTCGTGGTTATGGAAGAAGGGTTGTCGTTTTTGAGGTTTTTTCTTTTGAAATTTTGGAGAAAATTTGGGAAAAGAAAGGATTCAGCAGGAGTCAGGATTGGGGGGTTTGCTTTCATTTTATAAATACCCTTTCCTCCCCCCCCCCCCCGCTCGATGGCTCGATGGACGGCGTTGCGGACGTTTGGGGCGAAAAATGGCAGGCAGAGTTCGACTGTGTCGACTGGTTTCAGATCAAACACCATAAAATAGTTATGATGGTGTGGGTGGTGGTCAGGGTTGGGGGAACGGTAGTATCTATCGGGGACTTCTCTAGGAATGTTGGAGGCGCTGGGTCGACGAACCTCCTCTGACAGAAGGGTCGTCAAATTTTTGGTACTGGAACAACAGACGGTTGACTGTAAGTTCATGTGCAGGATGGTAGGGAGCTTACATCTTGTTTGTTGACGAACAGTACGCTGCAAGAAAGGGATAACGACGATTTCGGGGTTCCATCACATTTTTGTTGAATCGAATGCCGAAAAATTAACTTACACCCAAGTAGCAGGCAGTGACGGCGGTGAATCCGGCGCAAATTGACGACCGCCAAAGTGTTGACTGCCGATTGGTTAGCGATGAGGTGATGGATGGGCGAGGAATAGTCTGGTTCGAGAGCTCTCTGTTGAAAGAAGATCATATTGCATAATGGACTCTGTGTGCACACCTCTTTACGGCGCCTAGTCACGGAAATGGAGGGATGCTGTTGAACATTCGCGATAGACTGTGTTGTAACATGTACAATCGCAAAACGTACTTAATTTTGCTTCTCCAAATCGTGAGCCTTATTTGGGTAGATTTTGGGGAATCTATTTCATGCACTCCTGTGGGTCTACCCTAAAGTCACACTCCTTCTTTTACGCTTGATGCAGGTAAG